AAGAGTTAAAATATCATCTTTATATAAATTAAATATTTTATACCCTTCATCAATTTATTAATTTATTATTAATATTAGAAATATATTTTTTTAAATAAATATAGTTGAAATAGTATGTTTTTTTACAAGAATAATATGAAGATTCAAAAAAAGGATTCTTCTTATTTAAGTGATGAAGAAAATAAAAATGCTATTAAAAAATATTTTAATCTTAAAGATCCAAAATTCCTTAGAGTGAGTTTTCACTAAATAAAATTTTTAGCATTAATCATGTATGTTTACACTATTATAAATATTTATCACTTGAAAAATATTTATAATGAAATATATAATATTTGATATAATTTATCACTTGATATAATAATGAATTAATGTCATAATAAAATTATTATTTATTATTTTTTTTTTTAGTTAACAGCTAGTATACATTGTTTTAAATTTGAAGATAAGATGTTACAATATTTATCACATGTGTTAAGTGATGCAGCTATTAGAAGAGTACCTGATAATGAAATTAATCTTAGTAGTGCATTTAGATATATAAAATATATAATGCAATTGAAATATCATTATAAGCCTGATGATCATAAAGTAGATGTTAAAGTTGTTTGTAAATTTTATGGTGCATATAATATATATCATGAAAAGGAAAGTGATTATATTGGTATTATTGTAACTAATAGATATTTTACTGAAGATGCTAATAAACTAGATAATAGAAATTTTTTAAAATTTTAATTTAAAATGTATTACTAATTTATTTATAAAATATGAATTGGTGAGTTTTTAATTAAAATAATAATATTAATTAAAAATTATTTATTAATATATTTTTATTTTTTTTTAATTAATAGAAGCTAAAAATTGTAATGATAAAATTTATTTATGTACACATAAAGAATTGTATAGTTTATTTATTAAATTAAATAATGAAATTATAAAGAATATTAATAGTAATAGTAGTATAAGATTTGAAAATAATGATATTACTAATTTTTCTTTAAATTATTTTGGTTTTAGTATTAATTGTGAGTATGTAAATAAACTGGTGATTACTTTTAATAACAATAAGAAATATCATCCTTATAAATAGATAATAATTAATAATAATTAATATATATAAATATTCATATTTTTTTTTAATAAATTAATATCATTTTTTTAATTTTTTAAATTTAAATTAAAATGTCCTTTATATTTGTATCTGATGAAATTGATATGCCTGATTCACCATCAACAGAAATTATTAAAAATAATAAATTATATATAGTATTTTTTTATATAATTTATTTAGACAAACTAGAAATTTGTATTTATAAATTTAATAATGAATACATTACTTGTAAAAAAACTTCCAAAAAAAATGAAGATGTGATTAGTAATAAATTGAATCAAGAGTTTTCTTTTAATTCTAGATTTGATGATATTGAGGCTATTCATGATAGATTTAAAATATATAGATATTTTTTAAATGAACTTGAGTTTGATATTTTAAATAAAAGAAAAATAGATGAATTAAATAAAATAGAATTAAATGAAATTGTTAGTAATTTTAATTTATCAACTACAAAAACTATCCAAACAAGAATTACTAATTTATCATTAGTGAAGAATTAAAAATATTATAAAAATATATATAATAGTAAAAAGAAAAAATTTGAATATCAAATAAATTCATTAGAATATATTAAAAATAAAATACTTAAAGAAATTAATAGTGAAAATTTATATATAACTATTAATGTAGTAGAAAAAATTGAAATTACAAAACAAACAAGTTCATTTATTTTTGGAATTGTTAGAGCACCTGGAGTTGGAAAGACATTTGTAATTAGTCAATTTAAAAATTATTTAATTGATAAGAGAATTAATGAAGAAGAGATTTATATCACTAAAGAATTTAAAGAAATTATTAAGGAAATAGCCAAAAGTAATTCTAAAAATCTTTTCAATAAGCAAAAAACATTAATTAATTATTTTAAAATTGAATATTTAAAAATTACAAAAGAAATTAAAGAGAAAAAAATATGATTTATTTTATTTGATAATACATTATATGATATTAAAATTTTTAATCGAGAATTTTTTGATAAAGATAATTAAAAAAAATTGTCTTTAGAACTTGAAAATTTTATTAATAAAATTAGTTTTGATTGTGTTTTTAATATTAGAAAAGTAGAAAATGAGGAGAATGATGGTATTTCATTTGAATCTGAACAACTTGTTTTTAGTTATAAAAATGTTGATGAGAGAGATTATGATAATAGTAAATTATATAAATTATTAAATTTTGATATTATTAGTAAATTAATTGATAGATTTATTAATATTAATAATTAATTTTTATTATAAATAACATATATTTTATTTATTTTTATCAATATTATTTTATTAATTTTTTTTTTATTTAATAAAATAATAAAAACACGTGAGGATTTTACTGAGAATTATTACCCTTTTGATAATTTATATTCAATGCAAATTATAGAAGATTATGAGGATTATTATTCATATAAATATTATATGAAAGTAAATGTGTTGACACAAATAGTCTTGATGTTTGGATTCTTATTTCAGAATTTCCTGTTTATTGTGAATTCAAGATTAATGATGAAAATGAACAAAATAATAATACAAAAATACAAAAAATACTTAGTTTTATAACACCTTTAAATTATACAAGTTGGTCTATAGACACTAAAGATGTTTTTGAAAAAAAATTTCATTTTTTACAAGTATTTTTTATGAATCATAATATCAAAAAACAAATAATTAAAAAAATACAAATAATTATTAAGAATAAAGATGAAGGGTATAAAATATTTAATTTATATAAAGATGATATTTTAACTCTTTATTTAGTTTTTATAGCACCAAAAACTCAAGTTATTATTGATAGAATTAAAAGAGAATTTCCATTATCTAAAACCTTTAGAACAAATAGAACATTATCTAAAGATATGTATCAAAATAAATTTAATTATAGAATGTTAAAATTTGAAGATGATTTTGATGCATATATATTAATATATTTTGATTATGATACTGTTGATATTATAAATTTAAGAGTTTTTACTAAATTTATACAAGATCAAGCATTTATGAGTGTATTTGTTTTTTTTAAAGAATAAGAAATAAAACTATTTTATATTGTAGCGATATTATAACAAAATGATGAATTTTTTGTAGAGTATGAAAACAATAATTGTGATTTGATTTAATATATACTAAAACTCAAGAAAAATTTTTTTTAATTAAAGCACAATTATATAATAATTTTTGATCTAAAAAAACTGAAGGGTATAATAATTTAGGATATGATTGGAAATTCATATTAAAAAAATTATATAAACTTCAATTATTTAGTAATTTTATAAGAATAGCACCTGAAAAAAAAGAAACAGAAAATATAATTAGATAGAATTTTTGGCAAGATTATATTACTATAAATACCAGTAAAAAAACTAAACATTATTATCTTAAAATAAATGCTACTGATGAATATGATCAACAAACAATGTTTAGACAACATTTTGAAATATTAGCAAATTGGAAATTGAATGATATATTAAAAATGCTCAAGTTGAATCCAAAAGATGATTTAGAAATTAAAAAGATGTATGAAATATTATATAATTATTATCAAGAAAATTATAATGAAGAAGAAAAAAAAAGCAATGTACAATTATATTGAAATATTGTATTAGAAATTATATAGCACCAAAAAAACAATTGAATATATAAATAAAATTACTGAATATAGATTAATATCAGATTTAACTATTATACCTTTATATGAATTTTTTTTTTTTTGGTATTAAGGTGAGGCCTTGCTTATATCTTTATTAATAATTTAAAATAGTTACATATATATAT